TTAACCTGAGGCATCATAGTTGTCTTGTGGTTAGGTCCTTGATCTTTGACTATGTCAAAGTCACTCTATCAGAGGGTGTTCACGGCATAGTTGGGGTTAAGCCACTTAGCCATGGATGCAAGTGAATGCGCAACAAGGGATCTCTAACCTTCAAACCGTTTGAGGGAGAATACTCTATGATATGATTAAGAATCTTTGGCCAGAGTATGAATGAGATTTAGGAAATCGTTCCAAATCACATTCAAGGTAATCATATAAGTAAAAGAATCACATTGGATAATAGACATGAATAAACTATCAAACCAAACAATGTGGTCAAGAGTATTGTATTAGAGAAAGACCGTATTGCATTGTAATCCTAAACTGAATAGGTTCGCCACCTCTTCTGATTAGCTTGGGTAACCATGACATACTGCTAGGTGTCACTCATGGTTTGTGGAAGCCCTAAACGTGTATAAACACTAAAGGGAGAATTGAAAGTAAGTTTCAATTCACAATCGATTTGAAAGAGTTCTAATCGCCCACTACCTCGCTAAAAGGAACCTAATGGATCGTACACCGTGTAAGGTAGAGATTGAAGAAACAACGGAGATGAGTAAGGATAATTAAATGGTTTAATTATTTATGGCAAGGATTAATTAATATGTTAATTAATCAAACGAATAAAGTTCGTTAAAGACCTCGGGTTAGTTTTGGGCCTCAAGGCCCAATGGGCTTCGAACGTCAAGCCCATTGACTTAAGTTGTATGACAACTTAATGACTAAATATTCACAAAGGCCCAAACAGCCCAATAACACCCTATGGCCGGCCATATTGATAAAGGAGTGGGTTTTGGACTTATTACAAGTTTGCCACTCCAATGAAGGTAGGTATAAATGTGATTTTATAGCCTTTTCTTCATTAGGGTTTTTTTTAGAGAAAAGATGAGAACACAATGTCTATCCCTTTCTCTCTAAGAGGCCGGCCACCCTAGAGGATTTTAGCTAGCAATCTTACTTCCTCTAGGTCACTTATCTCTTCTTCAAGTCCATCCTTGGTGTGGAAAAATTAGAGGTTCTCAACTTTGGGAACTTGGAGAATCCTTTCAACCATCCTCATCCAAGAAATCCATGGATCTAAGAAGCAAGGAATAAAGGCCTTCTCCTTGGGTGATTAGTCTTTGCTTATGCAAAGAGGAATCAACAAAGGTATAAAATCTCTCAATTCACTTTGTTCTTGAGTTGAGTCTTGGTTCACCTTTCTACTAGGCTTTGAATTTCATGGGTAATGTTTTGTTTTTTAGTGCATACAAGCATGATTCTGCCTTTAATTGTTAATTGCATGCCATAGATGTTGCTCAAAAGAACATGTTTTTACAAAATTGTCTTCAATTTACATTACTTGCAGATTCACGGCCGGATTTACATTGTTTCAAGACCTCCGGTTTTGTGCATCAACATTTTCAATAACAAGAAATCTATAAGCTATACTACTTAGAGCATATTCGAGAAAAACACAAGTAGTAGCTTTGGCAACCAATTTAGGTATTTTTGAATTAGTTAACTTTGTATAGGCTAAACAACCCCACACTCTTAAATATCCTGAATTTGGTTTATGGCCTTTCTATATCTCAAAATGTGTAATTTTTGTTTTCTTGTGTGGCGCTCTGTCCAACACATAACTAATTCTTTAATAACATTATTTTCAATATCAAGAAATCTATAAGTTATTTAGAGCATATCCGAGAAAAACACAAGTAGTACCTTTGGTAACCAATTTAAAACTTTTAGGATTAGTTAACCTTATATAGGCTAAACAACCCCACACTCTTAATATCTTGAATTTGGTTTATGGCTTTTCCATATCTCAAAAGTGTGTAATTTTTGTTTTCTTGTGTGGCAAGTTGTCCAACACATAACAAGCAGTTAAAATATCTTCACCTCAAAGATTAGAAGGAGCACCTGAATCAATTAGCATAGCATTTGTTAAATCAATCAAAGTTCTATTTTTTCATTTCGCTACGCCATTAAATGTAGGAGAATATGATAGTGTAGTTTCATTTCTTATTCTTAAAGATTGTACATAGGATTTAAACCCAGAAGATTCGTATCCTTCCCTATATCACTTCCAAGTTTTTTAATTTTTCTTCCCAGCTGATTTTCAACTTCAAGGAGGAATTCTTTTAAATTTATTAAAAACATCACTTTTCTTTTCCATCAAATAAACATAAGTATATTTGGAATAATCATCAATAAAAATGATAAAATATCTATTTCCTCCACAAGTTAAAATTCCTTCAAATTCACAAATGTCAGTATGAATTAATTCCAAAAATTCATAATTTTTTCAACATTTTTATGAGGCTTTTTAGTGATTTTAGCTTTACTACAACTTTCAAAATTTTCTGAGTCTTTTGTCATTGTTGGAATTAAATTCAAACTCTCATGATTCCTACATATTTTCTATTTATATGACATAAACATGCATGTCAAAATTGTAAAAAAAATCATATAAACTGAAGTAGAAGCTTTATTACCATTCTCAACATTCATCTTAAACATGCCATCACAAGCATAACCCTTTCCACAAATACACCATTTTTGGTGGTTACATATTGATCATATTTCATGGTCTTTTTAAAACCAGCCTTATTAAGAAGATAACTCGACATAATATTTTTCCTCGTAGAAGGCGTATAAAGTACATCTTTCAAAACTAAAGTCCTTTTAGAGGTAAATTTGAGATCAACCTCACCACTTCCAAGCACTTGAATTGTATGTGAGTTACCAAACATAATTGTCTTCAGCTCCTTATACGGAGTATATTTCTTGAACCAACCTTTGTCAAAGCAACACATGCATATTGGCTCCATAATTTGCCCACCATCCTTCGTCACTTGTAACCATCAGTAATCATCGTAACAAATGGTTCTTCTGTTACATGAGCTTGAGGATTAGGCTCATGTTCCCAGTATCTGCAAAATCAAGCAATATTCCCACTCTTGCCACAAACATAACAAGATGAAGGGGATTGTTCGTTTTTACTCATATAATTTCCTTTATTATGTTGGTAAGGTTTTCCAAATTTCTTTATATTTTTCTTCTTAGGCTAAAGCTGATCATTTTTAGAACAATTATTTTTGGACATGTTATTGTTTGATAAGATTAGATTTACCTTTGTAGAATTACCATTATCCTCTTGCATAAGAACATCTTGTCCTCTTGCCTCTTCCTCTACACAGATGCATGTAATCAAGGTCTCCAAGGAAATCTCCTTTTTGTTGTGACACTTTGTTTTATGGAACTCTCTCCAAGAAGGTGGTAATTTGTCTATGATACCAGCTACAATAAGATTGTCATCAATTTTGACTCCTTCGGATGTGACTTCCACTATAATCATTTGGAAACCTTGGACTTGCTCTGCAACTGATTTCCCATCCACCATTTGGCAATGGAAATCACAGCTTGCTGCATATTTCTTTGCACTTGCCTCCTCGATGTCATATTTACTCTGCAAAACTTTCCATATCTTTGTTGCAGAACAATAAGTGGTATCATAATAATCATAAAAATGACTAGCAAGACAATTCAAGAGATAATATCGACACTTGTATTCATCGTTTAATATTGTTGGACTTTGTTTCATGGTCATAGTGCTCATCTTCATTCATGTTCTCCATGCTCTGTTTATTTGGATTTTTGTCGGTGAGAACGTAGTCAACTTTGAGAAGATTGAGATAGAAAAAGACTTTCCCCTTCCACCTCTTGATGTGAGCTCCCTTGAAACGGAATGGCTTGTTGAGATCTCCAACATTATCAAATGGCTTCTTAGGTACAAGCTCCATGAATTGAATCTCCTTAAAATTGTTAGGAAAATTACAAGAAAATTGTAATATTCTTCTAAGAAGCGCGTGGACAATTAGGCTGAGGTGCGCTAGTATCTCACTTTCTTTAAGAAGATTCAGGCCCACTACGGTTTGACTAAAATTCACGAACCGGTGCAGCTATATATCTCTTGACTTGTCCTGTCCAGGATGCAACAACCTCACTGAATTTTTGTTTGACTCAAACCTATCTACACAAAAAGGGAAGAGTCCAAAGCTCCACCATAACAACACCCTTCTTTGGCTAAGTAAAGATGGAAAAGATGGAGGAATAAGGAATAATAGTTGTAGAGGAAATTGCTTGTGGGATGATCAATAAAAATAATGATAGAGAAAATGCTACTAATTATAGGTTTATTATCACCCTTAGTGAATAGGGTAATAAACCTATCATTAACAACAAAATGAGTTACAAGAGTTACAGTACGTGAAAGGTTAAAAGACTCGCACTTAATTCCTCACTAATAATGAATAATGACAAACTTAATACCCCACAACAACCAAATAATGACAAACAAACTTAATTTCCCACTAACAACTAAATAATGACAATTATAATTAACATATTTAATATTAAAAATGCACGAACATGTTCTTATCTGCGAGATTTCTTTTGGGGACAAGGATTGTCTGCCCTCCACTTCTAGTGCCTTTTTTGTGCCCTCCTGTTTTGTGTGGTTACGGTTAAGTCACGTCAACATTTTATATTGTTTTTTTATACATATAATAAGACAAAAATGAATAGTAATATAAAATGTTGACGTGGCTTAACCGTGACCATACAAATAAGAGGACACTAAAAGGGCACCGAAAATGAAAGGCAGACAATCCTCATCTTTTTTTGGAGTGTGATATCAGAGGGTAGTGCAGACGTGGGCTCTATCAGCACTGATGCTTTCTCTCTTAGTCCAATCACAGAGGACATTAAACTGTGACTCTGCTCTCTCAATGGCGCACGAGTCTCGCATGTACGACGTTCTGCTAATGCAGTGGCTCATAAATTAGCTAGAATGATTTTATTTTTATTTGGATTCTTGTTAGTTCGAGAAACCACGGGATATGTGCAATGTCCTTCTAGCTGATTGTACCACTTGTTAATTCAATAAAGTCACTATCGTTTCTTCTCAAACAATAAAATAAATCAATTTGGAATTTATTCATTGCGTTTAAGACATATAAAAACATTATTTTATAGATTGGCATCTGCTTAAGTAGGACTACATAAATTACGTTACATTTCTCCATAAAATTATGAAGTAGCTACAAACATTTAGAAATAAACTGTATATGCATAATTGCCAGAAAACTCATCATCACTCAGCTTCGATGAGTCCAATTCCGGCATGAAAATCAAAGCCTATGTGGTATAAGAGTACCATATGATAGTGGAGCTCGTGGCAGATGATCGGTCTTCTTCTCATTTGAACCTGAATACGGCCTTTTACAAGGAATGTAAGTCATCTCCTTCTCGTTGGGACACTTTCTAGGCTTGGAGAAGAAAGTAGCACATTCCATCTTTGTTCTCTGATTTGGTTGGCCCAAAATGCAGTTCTTACTAACATCAAGTATCTTTCTATTAACCAATTTCTGGCACTCTGGACCGACCACAGTGAAATAGTTGTCTGCCAAAGACAAGTTCCCCAGGGTAGACAACTTGCACACCATCTCAGGCACGGGTCCGTAGAACTTGTTCTTGGCTAAGTTTAGATACACTATCTTGGCCAAGCAAGCAAACGAGGCTGGTATTGGGCCTGTTAAGTAGTTGGAACTTACATCGAACACGGTGGCCTGGTTAAGGTACCCAATTTCGTATGGCAGACACCCTGTAAAGCGAAGTATTAAATATCGTTATCGAACAAAATATCTACATTCATATCACGAGATATCAATAAAATATTGATAATTAATTGGTGCATTCTAACTATCTTTTTCCTACAAATTATATGGAATTAATGTAAAAATTTCTTTCTCTTAAATTACAAATGAGACTCTTCAACTCAGAACATATTTTAACATTAAGAAAAGTAATACCACTAAATTAAGAGTTAATTGATCCGTATCTAATTTCTACAACGTTCTTTTCTTTTCTTTTTTTAACAAAAGAAATAAAGAGACATAAGAGACTTAGACCGAAGAAATTATGATGATATTATTGTTAGACCACCATACCTGAAAGCTTGTTCCCAAGGAAGAGAACTTCATAAAGAGTTTTGGATGCTTGGCCAATGCTTCTTGGGATCGGACCGGTGAATTTGTTGTTGGCAAAAGTGAAGTAATGGGCAGGTGAGGAGCCAAGATTGTCAGGGATCTGCTTAGTGAAATTGTTGTTGTTGAGGAAGAGCACATCAACTCCTAGGTCGAAGACTTGGGCTGGGACAGGACCGGTAAAGAAGTTGAACCGGAGGTCCAAAAATGTCAAATTTTTTGCTCTTAAAACTTCGTACGGAAACCTTCCAGTTAGCTTGTTGTTGCTGAGATCGAGCTCGTAGAAGTATCGAAGCATGGCAGGGTTTACCGGGACTGAGCCTGTGAAGTTGTTGGAGTTTGCATGATAAAACACCAAGTCTGGTAACTCGTCAAGGAAGCCACGGAGTGGAAGTTTATTGTTGAAACCTTCGAACATAGCCCCGTTGATGTCTAAACCGGAGACTGCTTTCTTCTTGTAGACAGGATGAACGGCGCAGACAAAGCCCTTGTAGTTGCAAACTTCCGCACCTCGCCATGTCTTTGCGAAGCCCTTTGGGTCGGACTTGATTTTGGCTACGAACTTCTTAATCACATAGTAGGCAATTTTAATTCGGTCGCTGTCGAAGGGGTAGGGGGAAGGTGGTGGCGGTGAAGGCTGTGGTGATGGAGGCGGCGGTGGTGGCAGCACTGGCTGTGGGCTTGGAGGGGGAGGGGGAGCAGGTGGCGGTGGTGAATGATGTGGTGATGGAGGCGGTGGTGATGGAGGCGGCGGTGGTGAAGTCTGTGGTGATGGAGGCGGCGGTGGTGAAGGTTTTGGTGATGGAGGCGGTGGTGGTGAAGGCTGTGGTGATGATGGAGGCGGCGGTGGTGAAGGTTTTGGTGATGGAGGCGGTGGTGGTGAAGGCTGTGGTGATGATGGAGGCGGTGGTGGTGAAGGCTGTGGTGATGGAGGCGGCGGTGGTGAAGTCTGTGGTGATGGAGGCGGCGGTGGTGAAGGTTTTGGTGATGGAGGCGGTGGTGGTGAAGGCTGTGGTGATGATGGAGGCGGCGGTGGTGAAGTTTGTGGTGATGGAGGCGGCGGTGGTGAAGGTTTTGGTGATGGAGGCGGTGGTGGTGAAGGCTGTGGTGATGATGGAGGCGGTGGTGGAAAGGCTGTGGTGATGGAGGCGGCGGTGGTGAAGGCTGTGGTGATGGAGGCGGCGGTGATGGAGTCTGTGGTGATGGTGGCGGCGGTGGTGATGGAGGCGGCGGTGGTGAAGGCTGTGGTGATGGAGGCGGCGGTGGTGAAGGCTGTGGTGATGGAGGCGACGGTGGTGGAGGCGGCGGTGGGCATGGAGGGGGAGGGGGAGGAGGACAGTCTTGGTATTTGGGGGAAGGAACAGGAGGGCTGGCACCTCCTCCTCCACCTATGATTATCTCGAAGGCTTCAACCTTACAATGGTACAAACATAAATGCACCAACAATGTTGAGATCAAAAGTGAAGAAATGAAAGAGAAGGCACCCATGTCTCTTTGTTTAAGCTCAAGGAGTGAGGAGTGGCTAGAAATGGTGAGGAGATAATAATTTTGTTTAAGCTCGAGGAGGGAGGAGCAGCTAGAAATAGTGAGGAGATAATAATGAATAATAATAATAAAAAAAATATATATTTAGTATGCTAAGGAGACTAAGAAGGAAAGACTTGAGAAAGAATAGTCAAGGGTCATGCGGGTCATGGGGAAACAGATAAAATTGGCCCCAAAAATGTTGTCTGAGGCCGAGAGTTGAGCTCTCATTGTCAGACAGAGACACACTATTGTTATACAGTATTATTTGTCATTCACTCTGATTCCTTGCATTATTTTTATATTTGCTTTATAAAGTGTATTGGTGCCTACCAATAGTTTTACTAGATTGGCCTTTACTAAAAAGATTTATACAAGTGATTGGAATCGAAGGAAAAATACACCACTTGAAGATGTGCTACAACTTTGTTTTGATTGGGAGTCATTCATTTCACATGGGGGTGGAGATTTCAACTTCTCATTTCCACACGAGCAAAAATCCACCTTGACTTCCAAGTCCATGCCCGATGCCCTGTGCAATTTCTTTTAGAGGGTACCAAAAGCACTTTTGGATTGTTTCAACACATGACAGACAAGTGTGTGAATTTTGATATTCAATTTGGTACTCCTAATAACTAAAAGGATAATATTTGCATTTCGTACTTATGGAATATAAACTCACTCTATCACTTGCAAATAACGTATATTCATCGTAAAAATTAAATTGAAATCACTCAATTTCTAGCTTCTATTTGGAGATCATTCTTACAAAAAAAATCATTTGAATTAGATATTGTTTAGTTATCTAGAATATTTAGGACATGTTTTGCCCCCACTTGAAAATAGGGAACTTTAACAAAAAAACCACATTTTTACACTAAAAGGTCAATCCTGATACTATTCACTTTACCCTTTATTTTGTCCTTATCATTAAAACTCAAAACTTTCAAGTCATTTTCATTAATTCTTCTTTAAAAATATAATATTATGAAACCCAATATGTCACTTGAATCAAAGATAATTGATGGGCAACAACTTCTAATATATAGATTAAATTATAGATGTTGAGTCCGACTGCTTACTAGGAGAATACAAGTATAATTAATAGTCGTTAGGCTGAGGAGGGAAATCTAAATGTCCTTAATCGACCAAATAAATCCCAATTATGAAATAAACGAACCTGTAAAAACTTGACAGGTCCATCAGTTCAAAACCAATTTTTGACCAAACTCACGATAGAGAAACATGTAACTTCTAATACATTTAGGATGGTGTTACCTACACTCTTTTTTACATTTAGAATGGTGTTGTCTCTGTTTTTTTTTCTTTTTTCAGTTTATTCGATTTGACAATTGAAAATTAAGAGAATGTGAAAAAAGAAAAATAAGGTTAGCACCAACCTATATTTAGTTTGAATACATCTAGTAGAATTTCTCTTCACTTAAATCTAGTAGAATTTCTCTTCACTTGTAAGTAAGAGGTTTTAGGTTCGATTCCTACCAAAAGCGAATTTGAACGATATTATTGTTAGTCTATTATAAAGCTAAATTCACTATTTCTTTTTTAGTGTAAATAATATTGTGTTAAAAAAAAATTCAATCATGAAATGATATTTTTCATGTTTATATTTTACGTGGAAAGGAGCTTCGTACAATAGGGTATGCAGTGCCTTTTCCCTTTTTAACTTTGTAGTACAGTGTTTGCTTGGCAAAGTAGCACCTTACTTGGGGCCTCTCTTGCACACAATACAAAAGCAAAGTTCGACTTCTGCAAAAGAGGAAGTATATAATGTTATGTTTAAGTGCTTTGCAAAGGATCGTTAAGGTGCAGTTTTATTCGGTTCTTATTTTTTTTCAGTTTTTTTGGGTTCGTTTTCGGTTTTTTTTTTCTTTCAAAAAAATGAAAAAATTTGAAGTCTTAAAACATTGATGGCAAGTCTTTCCTCTAACTGGGTTATAAATCCGCTTTCCATCACAGCTTCTCATGCTCCTCTATGTAAATATTTGGCCTATCACCCTCCTCCATAGTTATACCTTTCATGTATGAAGCCTCATCCTTCCTCGACACATGCACCTCTGCGTAGCTCACTGGTGTCGTATTCTTCAATCTGAACCCATAAACCAAATCATGAAAAAAGCAAAAGAAATCAACTTTAACAAAATTGAAGTAAAAGTAACTGAGAACCCAATCCACATTCTCCAAAATCAAGTGCCAAAAAGCATGCACAATCAGAAACAGCTCCAAACCAACCACAATCACAAACCTGGTCGAATAGATTCAATCTTTAAACCAAAAACGAGTGTAATTTTTCAAAATTTGAGAACCCATCAAACATTCAAAACCAGAAACAATAAAAAAATCCACCAGAATCAGAGACCCATTTGGTTAAATATTCTAATTTCTAAGGGCAAATAATGTTCATAATCCAAGAAGTTAATAGAGGGCATGGAAAGATTACCTAGAAGAACGACGAGTGGATCCTAGCGACCGAATGGAAGGGGGTCCAAACGGCGTTGTACTTCGGCCGGAATAGCTCTTCGTTAATCTAGTCGATTGAAAGTTAGATTTGAGCTGAAGAGAGATATCAACGATGCCGAGCTTTTACATTCTTTCGCGGTTTTCTCTGATTCGATCTTCTTTGGACTGCTCGTACAGAGACTTGGGGGTTTGGAGAAAGAGATGAACAAACTAAGAAAGTAGAGCATGGAGGTGCAAGAATTCAACGGTGGGAGAGAGAGAGGTAGAGAAGTCAGTTGAAAGAGGAGATGAAATGGGAGTAAATGTGACAGCCCGTCCCGAAGATATTTATTATTTTATTATCAATGACATGAATATACTATTTTACCCCCGATTATGAGCGTTGTGGTGTGTTATGTATGTAAGTGTTGAAATGGATGGAAAGGAAAGAAAATAAAAAGAAGAAGGGAGGTCACGTGTGTGTGTGTGTGCGTGGCTGGTAGAAGAAAAAGAAGAAGAAGAGATTGGGCAAAGCTGCCTAACCAGAAGAAGAGAGCAGGAGATCCGGGAGAGAAAGGAGAGAGAGCTGGCGAATCAGGAGAAGAGAGAAGGAGATGATGGCCAACCAGAAAAAGGGAAGGAGGGAAAGGAGAGAGAGAGTGGCGTGGGGGATCGGCCGGATCCCCTTGGCCCGTTCTTGACCCGGTTGGCACCCATACCTATTTTCAATGATTTTCACCCAACTTTCCGGCGAATTGCTTCAAGAAACCTCATGGGAAACACTCTAGGACCCTTCGTCTATCCATTCCATCTCAAATTTGGAGAGTTTTGGCTTTGAAAATGGAGAAAACCGCAAGAAAAAGGTGCGGCGGCTTTGGCTTCGAATCATCCAATCCCGAAGCAATTCCTTCCAATTGTTACCACCCATAACATCTTCTTGAGGTCTAGAACAAAGTCCAAGTAGTGGTGGAGGCGTTGGAACAAGTTTGGAGGTCGAATCGAAGCACACCAAATTCTAAGGTCCGCACGGATTTTGGTGAAATTGAAGTGTTTCCAAGCCAAATTGGCCTTGGTCACAGGTATGAAAGTTGTTCTACTCATTGAGATTTTCAAATCTGAAAATTTTGGTAATTTTTAGAAATAGTTGAATTTTCCGGCGAGCCAGGGCGGCCGACCGCCACCCGTGGCGGCTGGTGCGGCGGCATGTGGCCTGAGGGCCGCCAATGCTATTTTTAGAATATATGTGATGTCTTGAATTCAGTTTTGAGAAGTGAATGACGTAGATTGATTGTTAGAGCCAAAATTCTCTAAGATACGTTAATAGGCCATTGTATGAATCGACGATCCAACTGTCGGATCGTCACCAAACTTTGATACGTAGTAGTACGTAATATTTAAAGAATGTAGGAACTTACGGATTTGGAATTCGATGGACGGATCTTCCCGAATTGGATTTGTAAGTTCATAAAATAAAATGTTAACCGCCACTTAGTTTTGGAAATTGGCGGAGATCCAACCGTCGGATCGTAACGAAATTTTAGTATGTTGTTCTAGAAGCTTAATGTGTATCTTGGGAAGTAACGGATCAGAAATCTGAGTTGTGGATCTTCCAGATTGAGTTATTTGGGGTTATGACCCTACCGTCGAACTTAGTCGACGGTTGACCTTTGATCAACGGGTCTCGCATTATTCTTGAATGCCCTTGAGGATATGTGTTATGTGAATTACATATTCTATGGATAAGAGTTATGAGATGTGGTTTGATAACTGTTTTAGGCACCAAGCGTTCGGGACGCCTTGGTTCTGATGTTAGGGAGTCGTAGCGCGAATCCCAGGTGAGTGGGCAGTTATTTTTAGTATATATATATATATATATATACACTTGACGTTTTTCCCAGAAAACGTATTTAAAGGAAATGCAATTTAAATGCCATGCCATAAATGCCATGCATATACAATTATGTTTCGTGCATGAATTGATGTGTGATACCTTATATATATATATATATATATAAATGTGGTGTTGTGGTGTTGTGGAGGCACAGGTAAGTTCAGGTAAGTTGTGTTTGGTTATATAAATCATCGATGATGCGATATGTGATTGAGAAGCGATAGCTCATAAACTTGCACCCAGGGTGATTGCGATTTAGCCAGAGAGAGCAGGCACATGCCTATATATTATGTCACCTCCCGCACCATATGCTCACATTGGATCCCATTAGGTGCATAGTCTTGTCGTACAGACCACTGTAAGTGGTTCCGACTTGTAGGTGACTAACGTATTATCGCACAGCTAGCATTGAGAGAGTAGAATTGAGCATAATTATATTACACCCAACCTTGTCGCACATACCCTTTTCAGTGGTTCCGACTTATGTGCAGTATATTGTGTTGGAAGTATGCCCACAAAGCCACTCATTTGATGTAATAGCTTTTTGGAATACTTAATGTATTAAACTTTTATATGTTTAATGAAGGGCAAAGCTTATTGTTGATCACTATTTATTGTATCATGTGTTTAAGTAATAAGGGAATCCAAGGGATGTATTTGATCTAAGAGACAAGTGATCTAAGTGAGTTAGATTATCGAGACCATTCTCTTATGTTCATTCC